AATATACATTTAGCTCTGCTTGTCCAGAGCAGGGCTGAATGTATTAAAAAACTACTCGCCCTGCGCCCGAAACTGCCTGTCCCGGGCGTCGGTCGATACGAATTCCACACCCCTGCCTCATTCTCTGGACCAAAGAGGAGAGGGACCTTCTGTCTTATCAGCACTTACTTAAAAAAACCTGCACCTCTGATTTTATGGAGGTGCATTAGTGTGTATGGAATGGGCAGCTTGCACATCTGCAAAGGAACCATCAATAATGAAAAATATATCCTGGTTTTAGAGCAGCATATGCTCCCATCCAGATGACATCTTTTTCAGGGAAGGCCTTGCATATTTCAGCAGGACAATTCTAAGCCACATACTGCATCTTTGACAACAGCATAGCTTCATAGTAGAAGAGTCCGGGTGCTTAACTGGCCAGATATTTACAGAGTGTTATTAAAAGAAGAGGGGATCATAAAGTGTCGAGATCCATTTGAGCATGTTAGCCCCCAAGCCTATGTGTCGCAGAACCGCCTGCATGAATCCCCAGTTGACCCGGTCAAAGGCTTTTTCGGCGTCCGTGGAGAGCAGGAGAAGAGGTCGTGGATTGGTTTTGGCCAGGTGTATGATATGTAGGACCCGAGTGGTGTTTTCCCGGGCCTCTCTAGATAGAATAAAACCCACCTGGTCCGGGTGGACGAGGGAGGGCATGAACGGGAGTAACCTGTTGGCAATAATTTTAGCAAATAGTTTACATTCAGGAGCGCAATCGGCCTGTAGTAACTGCACTGAGTCTGGTCCCTGTCTTCCTTTGGTATTAGTGTGATCGAAGTATGTCTCTGGGCAGGGGATAGTCTTGTGGTATAGAGTTATAGGCCGTAAGAAAATTGGTAGAGAGCTGGGGGAGAAATAATTTGTAGTACGCTACCGTGAGGTCATCTGGGCCTGGAGCTTTGCCCGCCCCTGTTGACCTCAGAGCTGACTCCAGCTCTGCCAAAGTAATAGCAGATTCATGTGCTGCACTGTCTGATTTCGGTATAGAGGGCATCTTAGATTTGGTAATGTACTCCCGTGCTTCAGAAGCAGCAGGTGACCTGGCCACCCCTGTCTCTGTTAGATGCAAATCATACAGGTCCTTATAGTATGATCTAAACTCCTCTGCCATGTCACTAGAGGACGACACCATGTTGCCAAATCGTGCCTTAATCTGAGAGATAAAGGATTTGGTCCTGTTACCTCTCGGGGCACGTGCGGAGAGTTTCCCGGGTTTGTTTGAAAATTCGTATAGTGTTCTCCTGCCCCCCAACAGACACCGCTTCACCTTAGAGAACAGCAAGTTATTTAGTTCCTCCCTAACGAGACGCAGTTCAACCTGAGTCGTGAGTGCCAGAGAACGTTTATGCACGGCTTCCAACGTATGTAGACGTCCAAATAAGTGGGCCACTTGTTTGGCTCCCTCCCGTTTCTTACGAGCTCCATGCTTCAATAGAATGCCCCTTATGACACATTTATACGCCTCCCATGCAATCAAGGGTGACGCAACTGAAGGGACATTAGTGGCAAATAAGGAGGATAGAGCAGATTCCACGTCAGATTTGATCAGAGGGTCCTTTAGAAGCGATTCGTTTAATCGCCACATGAAGCATGGGGCGGGAGCCGTTGTCAAGGATAGAGACATATGTAACGGTGCATGATCCGATAGTAGGATGTTGTCAATCGTGACCGAACATACCCGTGGGAGTTCTTTGTGTGCTATACAAAAGTAGTCTAATCTCGAGTAAGTTTGGTGGGCTTGTGAAAAATGTGTAGTCCCTATCGTGGGGATGAATGAACCGCCATGTGTACATCAGGTGTAGGAGGTGGAGCTCCGATTTTCAATTTTTTAAAATATGAAAAGGCCAGATGGGAGGTACCCCTGGATACGTCTAGCAAAGGGTCCAGTGCAAAATTAAAGTCCCCCCCAGCACCAGGATGCCATCTGCAAATTCTAAGAGGACCTGCACCAGCGTGCGAAGGAAGCCCAGTTGATCTGAGTTTGGAAAATAAACATTGGCTAAGGTCACTGGGACGCCACCTATTGTGCCCTTCAGGAGAATAAATCTGCCGTTTGCGTCAGTGTATTGATCAGTGTAAGTCCATGGGACCGACTTAGCCAGGAGAATACAAGCACCCTTAGATTTTGAGATGGGGAATGGGCAGTGATATACCACTGGATAGTCTCGATTGAGCAACTTGGGGATCTGATCACTCCGAAAATGAGGTTCCCGAAGAAACACGACTTGAGAGCCAGATTTCTCTAAATCTGTGAGCAGTCTAGATCTTTTTTTGGGGATGTTTAGACCCTGTACATTCAGGGAGGTCAACATCATAGCCACCATATTTCCCAACAGGGTACAGGCAGCGATTCAGGAGGGGGAGGAAAGGGGAATAGAAAAATGAGGCCAGCAGGTACGTGCTGAGAAAACTAGTGTGTTTGCGTGACTCTAGCCCAGGATGTGGCAACCATGAGCAGACTGGTTTACACCCAAGAGTGTATAAATCCTGACCAGACTAATGGTTCAGGTCAATAACAAATGTAGCAACCCGTTGCGTTATGCACGGAGTAGTCCTATGTGGGGGTGGTTAGACAATCCTATGTGTATACAAATATATCTATAATTGTCGGTACAGAACCGTGTGAGGAGATGCACAGCCCTCCCCCAGTAGCAGAACAGCACAGGACGCAGATCGGATCCCGACACCTCCCCGCTTCAAGGGGGAAGCTTACCCCTTTCCGACCATTGGTATTTGACATGACCCCGTGGGGGGGATCCATCGTCCCAGGAGCGGAGAGCCGACCCCGTCAAATCTGCGTCCCATACTGATCATATCACCAGGAGATAGATGCCTCTCCCCCATGTACAACAGTATATAACTTAAAACCAAGAAAAAGAAGAGAAAACCTAAAACATAACAACATAATAAACACCTTCAACTCAAGCATTAGGGCAGGTACGGCCCCAGTTAAAGACAAAATTAACCTGAGATACATTAATTAGAACCTGTAAACAGCCTTCGCCATCCGGGTGTCTGCGTATTGAGGACGGTGAGCGGTGAAAGTCTCTGAGGAGGCCATGTCCAAGAGCTGAGCCTGGCCCGGGCCTATCGGGGAGCACAGGCCACGGGGTGTTAGAACCCAAACAAAAGAATATGAATTTGGACAGAAAAATCTGTGGATCTCTAACGACTGTCGTCTATGCCTCATGGCTCATGGTAGCTGGCACCGAAGAGGAACGTAGTGGGCTTCTTCCTCTGGATGGGCGAACCTGTCGTTGGGCGCGAGGTGCCATGTCTGCCGGGCCCAAAGGGAAGTCTAACCAGTTCAGGAGATCTATCGGCGCCTCTTCCAGCCAGCGGAACAGAATGGGAAGCTGACCGGGCGAGTGTAGCGCAAAAGACTGTTCATGGTGTTGAATGATGAGGTGAAAAGGATGGCCCCAGCAGTATGATGCTCCTGCTGTGCGTAGAACATCCAGCAGTGGCTTCAGCATCCTGCGCATCCTCAATGTTTGGCGTGACAAGTCGGGCATCACTTGTATCTGGGCACCATCAAAAGCTAGCTGGCCCTTGGTCCAGGGCTTTCGCATAATCTCTTCCTTAACCGAAAAGAAGTGGACCCTGCACAACACATCCCTAGGCACAGTGGAGTCAGGGGCGGAACGATTGAACTCGATGGATACGATCCAGCTCAATAGGGTCCCCTGGCGGTTTGTCCAGGTACATAAGTATGGCAGTGACTGTTTAGCCCAGTTCAGGGCCTGAGGTTGCTCCGGGCACCCCCTTTAATCTGATATTGTTACTGCGGTTTTCGGTGTCATCTCGATTCAGATACAGGGAAGTCAGCCTTTGCTGGGTAGCTGCGTTTGCTGTTTCCAATGCGGACATTCTAGAAAGGAGATCATCTGTGACAGTTTCTACAGCAGCAACCTTGCCATCTAGTGCCACTACCTGCTGTTTTATTTCATGCACCTCTGTCCGCAGAGCCTGCACTATCTTGGCTGCCATCTCATCCAGATCAGCCTTGGTGGATAGCTGGGGGAGGAGGGAACGCCATGTGTGCTCATTGCCGGCCTCCTTGTCATGCTCAGTTGCTGAGCGGGTTGGACTCGGTGGGGTACCCCTGTGTGACATCCTGGGAGTCTGGATTGGAGAGCTCTCTCGATCCGACCGTGATGTGGCTGGGTCAGGGGCCCCGGGCGCAAGCTTAGGCATACTTTTGTTAGGAGTCTGACTACTAAACCATCTTTAGTATACAGGTTGTACCTCAATGAAACATCTGTACCCTCTAGAAACACAAAGCTTTTTAGCCATGCCTTTAGTTCACCAAGCACCCACTGTCGTTCCTGTGTTGCACATGGCACAGACATTATTCTAAAGAAGAAAACCTTGAAGGTTCTTCCCTTCAACTTGCATCTTAGTTTTCTGAACTGATTCCTAAGGATCCCAAATTTTCATATATTCTGTCTTTGGACCAAATGTTGCAGCCAATTTTGTAAATGGTTTAAATCTTTCATGTGTCACGTATAAATATAAATACATTTATACCATTTTCTAAAATGAGTTGTCTTTAAAATGAGTTTAAAAGTCTGCACTCAGAATACATTTATTGCACATTACCATTTCTGGACCGATTAGGAGTAATCGCAAGTCATCCTCTAAATAAAGAGCCAAACTATGCAATCCTGCTGCCATGGATGAACTGCTGAATAATTACATGCTGGAGGGTAGATAGGGGAGAGGGAAGCCACTAAAGAGCACATGGTGGTATAAGAAATAGCTAAATTACCAGAACTTTATTATAGAAGATCATTAAATGGTTTGTTGTCTCTCACTCTCCCTATCCAGCCACCTATGTATTTTTTCTGTGTATCAATATTTAAGTTTAAAGTTTTACAGTATGTTGGTAGTCTCTTAAAATTCCGAGTGTTTTAATGCTATTTTGTGACAACATTATTTTCTGTTGTTATTCATTATTGTAGGAGAGCAGAGTTCTTCGGACTGTACCCTTATTAGCAGCTTGCCTTTCTAAAGATAAATGCAAAGTACTAATTGGCCGACGTTTTGGTGAAGAAAGGTATGCATCACTTTACAATTTTTTTATATGAAACCATTATCTTTTTACTTAACATTTTTAATCATATTATTTAATGTTTAATAATGATTTTTTTTAGTGCATGTGGTGGAAGGGTATGTAATCTGTGTTTTTAGTATGTTTTGGTATTATGTCTCAATCTATAGTTTTCTTATGCAAATCTTTTTTTGGAAATGTGTTTCAGAGTTACTTACCTGGATATCCTGCAATTGAAAGCCCTTCCTGTTGCAGACTGACAGTGCTAAGCCACTGCCTTACAATTAGCAGTAGCCTTTTCAGTTTGCTGTGTGAGCGCCTTTATATTTTGTCTGTAGAGCTGCCTATTTGCAGGAGGGTCTGCAGGAAGCATGCTTCTCAACCTAACAATGACATTGCTGTTGCAGTGGCTTAGTGTTTTCAGCCTGAAACAGGCTATTGCCGGCCTGGATAAGAAATGTTGCAACACATTGACAAAAAGTGCCTACAGTGAGACACGATGCCAAACAAACTGAAAAATAGGTTTTTGGTTTACATACAATGTAAGGGAACAGTTACCGGTATGGATTAGAACTATTACTGAAATGGTATTATTTCAGCCATTAACTGAGTTTTTTTATGTTCTTCCATGAGATGGCTGGGTCAGAGTGTGTAATAGACAATATCAGCTGATCTCAGTAGTTTTAGCAAACATAATCTGGTGTAGGAGTGTCTCACAGTACACCCACCTTCATAGGCTATCCAAGTATATACATTTGTGCTCTCTGTCTGTAAAAGAAAAAAGGTAAATATTTAGATTGAATTACATTTACCTTATGTGGCTAGGTGGCCATATAAGGTAAATGATGTCCGCATAAGCATCCTGCCCCTTTGTTTACATGAAGCTGTGGGGTGGGGAATGTCCACCCTGTAGCTGATTGGGTGGAAGAGCCCGTAGCACTTCATTGTTCAGAGGAGCTTGGGTTCTGACCAGGTTCGGTCCAAAACCTGAGCCTACAACTAACAGGTTTGGAGATAAAAGAGGAGGCCAGGAAAAGAGAGAAACTGCAGAGTACACAACACAAAGGACAGGGACATAAAAAGTGTCAGCCCTCTCTGCACAGCAGTGGGAGTGTTGGTCTTTCTTGGTCAGAGAGATAGTGAGTCCCTGTTAAAGTTGTTTGGAACAAAATTAGCAATCCAAGAATTCCAGGCAGTGTTATACTTTTCTATAGTATCATTAGAAGTGCATTTTTTAAAATTCAGAACGGAACAGTTTTTTTCACCTGTACATTTTCAGTAAAGGGGAATTGGGAAATATTACACAAGGTAGCTCAGATGTTTTGAGAAAGCTTAGAAGGTGGTGGGTATCAGACTGGTCACCCAGCATTTATGTACCTTGCGGCAGTGACCTGTCCTCATAACAGGGCACAGCTCAAAGGAATCGATTACCAGGGATAAAATATGAACTTTTTTGCCCTCTTCTAGGCATGAATTGTCCTCATTATGGACATCACTTTAATGGGCAACTTGAACCAAGAGCTGGGGCCTACGACAGGTTGGGCAGCGCTACTGTCGTCCTTCACAGGTCTGAAGGGCTGCACACTACTCAACTTGTGTGGCCGTTTGTCCGTAGATCTTAACAGAAAAAACATTTGCTTGCAGGGCTCTCCCATCCATCTTATTTTCATTATTATGAGAGTAAGAAATGAGGATCAACAGAGCATTTTCTGAAACTCTGTATACAGAACTTTTCACCTCCAATCAGAGGGCATTTAGAATGGAGATAGAAAATACTTACCGTATATAGGTATATCTAGTCACTGGAAGTATTGTATAGAGTACAGTTTCCTTAAAGTTTTAGTCAGTTAGACATACAGTCTTCGTTAACTGTTCTCTCTCTATTGTTGCTGCAAAAGTAAAATATATTCCCCACAGTGAACACTGGGAGCAGGGCTGTTTTAAAAAAAAAACACTTTGTGCATTTATATATGTTTATATAAACTATTACCTGCATTAAGACTTTCAAGAGTTTTCACCTGCCACTGTTGATATGATTTGCTATGACAGGTTTCAAAATCCTGAGCTGCAGGATCACAGGCCAGCCTACATTTCAGTGCAGCAGTTGTGGATGAGAGGTCTGCTATTCTGCTGGAAGGGACTTCAACTCCAAGCATGCATCACTCCTCCACATTTTCCTTTCTATAGTACCTGCTTAACAACAAGCTAAGAAACTGACATGTAGCTGAAACTTTTTCTGCAAAAATGTGCACCCTCCTGGGACCACTGGAGGTTCCAAATAATATAGATTTCTGCTCCCTGCAGCTCCTGACAAAGCAGCTTGTTATTACCTATTCAGCAAACAGCACAACGTAGTGTAAAGCTGCTCAGTTATAAACTATTTTTACTGACAATTTGAAAGATTTTAAATGAAAAAAAGTATTTTCTGTGATATATCATTACACCACTGATTTTTGCATACAGTCAAAATGCCTATCTGGTATTTAAATTAAGTTAATGGATAGACCCCTTGCCCAATATAGGTTGAAGGTGTCCACCCTTCTAAAATTGTGTTAATATCATGCATGTTAGTTAATGGGCATCCACCCAAAATTGGCCCTAGTGCATGTGTGTTTGAATGGACATAGCCGGAACATTAGTATGTAAGCTCCTTTAGTTGCAATGGCTAATGTGAATGGGCAGTGTGCTAAGTAAAAGTCTGCTGCATTTGCTGGCACTGTTTAAATGAATAAAATAGAATAATAGTAGAGACAAGGTTCAAATTTGCCGCTACAAGTGGTTTGCAGCGAATCCTGCATGTTAACAGTTCACGGACCCAGTGAATGCAAGAATTAAACATAATTACTAGAGTGCACTGCCTCACCTTTAAACGCAGGTCAGCTGGCCAATAAGGGGGCTTTTGGAAAAGTCAGCCGCCTCACTATAAAAGGGTGGATTTCCCAGCAACCATATTGACAAAGTTTTATAGCTGTGATAGTTAAAACATAAGGAGTACTGCCAATGAGGACAATCGAGGTGGCTGCCTCAGGCTGCATTTACGGAGGCACAGTTAGGGCCGTCACTTAGGCGCCAGATTGTCTATACTGGACACCCAATCCTTAGTGCATGTTTAGCCCCTAGGCCACACAGCCTCAATGGTGCTGTGTGGCCTTGCACAGAGAGAGATTAGTGTAGGGTTTGTTGGCAGTGACTGGTAAAGTTGATGTAAACCCTTACTGAATATCATGTAGGTAGAAAAAAATTAAGGTAGTGATGAGGCACAGCGACATGACCCATGCCTCCTGTTTTTAGTAATAGCTTTATTTTTAAGTTGCCTTTGCAGGTAATTTGACTTTGAGAATTTAATAAATGGAATGTGTGCTTTAAATAATGACAACAGTGGAAGCTTATAGTTTTTAGGAGAGCATATGACAGTGATATAAAGGCAGGAGATTGTGGGACACAGGGGCAGGGCATTGTCTTTCAATAAAATAAAGTGCCAAAGCAGCGACCTTTATATCCATATCACCAGCTGTCATTTTCATGAAAGCTAGCAATTAAAATAAAAATAGGCTTGCAACGTGATATCATGTTAAAGCTTATATTATATTTTTGTGGATGGGTTTAGATCTACTTTAAAAAAAAAATTTGAGCTCTTTAAACTGAAGTGCTGGGATTTCTTATTTGCCCTGCCAGTGGGCACAGATCGGTGCACCCAAAAATCCTTTTAGGACCAATACTTGTCAGTGACACTGATTTGATAGTTGGCTTTTCAATTGTGAATGCCTTTGTTACATTTTCCATTAATTGAAGGAGGGGCGGGGTTTCCTCTTCTTTTTAATATATGTTATTTATTTTTGGCTTGGTGTGAGAAGAGTACATAAAGCAGTTGTTGCTGACCGTCTGTTGTTGCTGACAGACACACTGTGCACCCAAAATACCACGCAACCCCACCCACCATTTTTACAATAAGTAAAGATACTTATGGTGGATTTTCTAAGCCGTTTCCTAGGGAGCTATGCATGCTTGTAAGTGTTTTTATAAAATGTTTTCTAGCATGCGCACTCTTTAATTTTTTGTACATGTGTGTTCCTACACATTGCCTTTCTAAGATATAAATAAAAGTATTTTTCCATTCCGAAACTCTTTCGCTGCCAGAGCCATTTTTGCATAGTTTGCACACATGAAAAATGCAGATTTTAGACCTGAAGATTAGGTAAAGTCTCCCAGAATTCAAACCCAAATTTACAAAAATACACTAAAGTAAATTTTGGTGCACACAGAGTATATTACCCACTTTTTTGGTAAAATATACAGGATGAGGTTACATCGAATAAATAGATACCAAGCATGTCAAACCTTAAAAATTTCACGCACTCGTGAAACGGCAGCGGACATTGACACACAAAATTGTCCATCAGCAATGCTTTAAAAGTAGCCCTAGAATTATTGTTATTCCAAAATTTTGCGCTGGAGTTCCCTAAAATATCTCTATCCGGAAGACCGCTACTGTGAACCCCACACAATGTGGAAACAATATAAATATACAAAAACACAGTGCTTGCATGCAGAAATTGTAAAAAAACAAAGATATTATGCTACATGTGCTCTGCATTGTTAATGTGTGCGCATCAAACACAATAACAACAAAATTGCATATAGCCCACTAAGTGCTCCAGTCATCCACAAAAGTCCATTACAACCACAATAATATGAATGCTTGCCCTTCAAAGGATAGTGTTGCTGCATGGCTGCTGTCCTCTGATTGGTGTGTCGCATCCTCAACAGGGAGCGTCGGCTCTAACTAATCCAATTTTCTCTTGCTCTGCTCTCATCAACTTGTCACTTATAGTCCCCCAGTTTGGATATGCATGGCTTGACAATGCAGAAATTAAGACAATTCCATTAAGTTAAGATGGATATGTTATGGTAGATAAATTAAGATAGATAGATATTATACAGAGGGAGGAAGAGAGAGAACCAAAGCCAGAAATTGATTGCTCAAACAATTCTGCAGCTCCAGGTGT